AATTTTATAAAGTAAAGTTACTTCCCTACTTTATAAATCACCATCACTGTGGAACCGGTGGGCGGTTAGAAAATTTTACTACTAAGAGAGATACAAAAGTGGGCGGTAGGTATAAAAAGATTGATTATCCCTGTATAGAGGACAACTCACTCAGACAGTTAATCTTCGATATCATATCATGGTATAAGTTGGGCACACAATTTCAATGATATAGTGGAGTAAAGAGCTTTCTAACAACTATATTAGTCTAACTATAAGCTTGTCACAAAGAACTGTGTATCTAGAAAAATGGCTGTTAGCAACAGTAACTACACTGATTATCTAATTCCACATGGAAACTGAGAATGTTTCTGTTATATCATGACATGCTACTATCTAAATTTCTGTTAACTATACTAACCATCCCTCTGGTAGAAGCGCCATTTAAATTATTTAAAGATTTACAGAGTTTATATAGTTATAGCAGTGTTTCCCAACCTTGGCCAGCTTGAAGATGCCTGGACTTCAAGTCCCAGAATTCCCCAGCCAGCACAGCTGGCTGGGGGATTCTGGGTTTTGAAGTCCACAGGACTTCAAGTTGGCCAAGGTTGAGAAACACTGAGTTATAGTAACAAATCTTATTAAAGTACAGTCACGTCATACCAAGATCTTCCAACTGACTGAAGGCATTTGATCCAAACGTTCTCCGGACGACATGTGGTCTGCCTGCACTGCTCTGAAGAAGAAAAATAAAACGAATAGAATATTGTATTGGTGACAAAAATTCAAGCATGATATTGTCATCTAGATGGATAAACAGACAGATAAATAGATGGATGGTAGACAGAGACATTATATGGATAACATATAATGGATAAGCTGAGCTCAGTTTCGGGGATGTATTTTGGAAGCTAAAATTCTTGGTTTATCCATAACGGGTGAGGTGTGTGTGTATGTGTTCAGTTTAATATCTTTATGTATATAATATGGGCTAGCGAATTTAGCATGTATATGTAGAAAACCTGAAATGGTATTTTTGAATGATTAAATATTGAACTGTGGAATATTTCTCTTTGAATGTTCACCACGAATGCAACTGGACAGAACTCCTCTCCTACTGGTTAGCTATTATTTGGATGGACCCTGTGTCAGCCTCTGCTTTGCTGTTGCTTCGGCTGCCATGAAACAGGGAGGGAGGGCATGGTATTTGGGCGGGTTTACTCATTGCGCTGGAGGACGGTTCGGGAGTTCAGCTGCCTGTCGGGCTACACATGCGTAGGAGTTTCCCGCCAGGACTAACGGCGCCGACATTCCATCTTCGTGATGCCTTTCGA